GGTGCCACTCTGCTGTAAGACATTTCTGGATTTTAAGAATAGGTTGAATTAATAAAAATAGATACTGACCACAGTCTCAAGATTTGGGATTTATTGGAAGGTATCTGCATCTGTATGTGTTAACCTTGATCAGAATTGTCACTAAACTGAAATGAATCCTACACAACAGGACAAAGAAGCAGACATAGAGTAAATGGCTGTGTGCATTTGTAAATAAAAAAAGTCTACTTCACAAGGGAGATAGTTTCCCAGTTACACTGCATCTACATCTACATCTTAAATATTTGAAGATGAAAAGAAACCATGAGGTCATGTAGTCTTATATGAGAATGCACTATGTTCTGTACTGTATTTATTTTTTAATCATTAGATGTATAGAACACTTCATCCATGAAAAACAGAAAAGGTAGATTGGAATGCTTACAAAATTATTGTAATAAAATTCCAAATAGGAATGACTTGTTTGGGTAGGTAGGCTGTTATTCTCATTGTTATGCTGAGTTATTTTCAGTTAGTTAACAATGAAGCCCAGGTTCTTTGAAAGAGAATAGTAACCACCAAACATTGAAATACCACTGCCTCCAGGTGTGGAGGCCTGAGAAGGAACACTGGAAAACAGCATAATGGGACTCCAGATCTCTTGCCAGAGAAACATACACAAGGACTGCACTGAAACTGCATGGACATCACTCACACATTTTGTGCAAGAAATAGCCATCAAAAATGCTGATTTTATTGCAGGAAATTCTCAGATCCCGAGTGAAGAAGTGACATGGAAGAGAATGGGACTGACCCTTTTTTTTAGTTTGGTGTACTGTTGTACCGCCCCCCCTCCGAAAGATCAAAAAAGATTTGATTACAAAAAGATCTTCTTGCCATATTGTGTTTCAGCTTTTAGGAGTGCTATAGAGCTGCTAAATAATAAATCAGGCTCTAGCTGGAGACATAATGTCGTTTACTTTACACTTTCACACAGTATATTAGATAAATGCTATCTGATTTACAATGATTTAGTACAGTTTGACTTAAAATACTTTAAGTTATTTTTTTCATTAGAGCAGGCAAGGACTGACGTGTGCTGTTTGAAGCCAATTAAGACAAATACTGACTAAACCTTAGCAGAACAAAAGTGGGATCAACTGCTTGAATTTAAAAAGACAAAGACATAAAAGATACTGCACCACACATACTGTATAATACACATATTTCCTTAGTGAAATTCAGTAAAACAGATTACGTAGAAGTCTCAAAAAACATAAGAATAATTGCCATAGCCTACTTGTTTATTTTGTTATTTTAAATGACTCATCAGTACATTAAGATTCCACATCCAACATCCATCCCTTGCAAGTACTGGCATGTTTAATATTCACAGTACTGAATTGTAAATCATCTTCAGAAAATCATTTGTTTTATTATTGTCTTTCTGTAATATTACTGGATCACTTAGGGCTTTTCCAACATTCTGATGACCAAGTAAATACCAATGATATTCACCACTGTTGCTTTTACAGAGCTATACCTACAGTATATCCCGCCAATATTTTAGTGAGTACCAGATACCCTAATATTCTGTGCAGTAACTGGATTGGTAATCAAAAGGTCATACAGGACTCTTTATAAGACTAATAAATCAACATGCATTGTGCTTTTACTCCATCTTTTAGCTAGTAATCCCTGAACTGCAAAGTACTGTATTCATAATTTTATATATAATTACATGGCTACTCTCCTTCCTACCCCATAAGTGGGGATTTAAGAGTTCCTATACTAGTTCGAAATACATTACAACATAATTATCCTCAATTCCCTTTCTAATTATGTAACTCCAAGAAAGAAAGACTCACTCATGGCTTTATACAGCAGCAGTCTAATTCATTTCTTTGTTATGTATTTCTCAAAGGAAATGAAGTGTTGTTTATGGTGTCTTGAGACCAAGCATTGACTTTAACAAATATTAGCATGTAAATATTGACTTTAATGAATGCCAGCAGCATGTTAGCAATGTGATAAGTAGAAAGCACGGGTTACAGCTCTGTGGCGTGCTAATTAAAGAATATGCTACAGGTGCTTCAGAAACTTAATGTTTGTCCTCTTAGAAGCCTTTAAGAAGTGTTATAAGGATTCACACAGAAACAAAGCATTCCCATCCACCATGAAGTTCATATTCCTAACAGTTTAATTATTTTAATTAATAACTGTACTGTATCTTCATGTTGTTAATTTGCCCCTTAACACATTTAAATATCTGTCAATAGGTTTTCTCAGCAATATTTCAAGACAGCACAAAAGCTAAAGTAATGGATTTTTAACATGTTCAGAATGAAGTACGTCAATTAGATAATATACAGAGCCTTCCAAACGCATTCATACCTCTGATGAAACAGGAACAACTAACTTCAAATAACAGGATGATTTATAGAGTGGATAATGTTTCTAACTAAAAAAAATCTAAAAATGTCACACAGTTCCCTTAATAGCATTGCTCAGAGAAAAGGCATACCTGTATATAATTTAAAAATAATCAAGCCCATAAATCACTGGGATCATGTTTATTCACACCCCTGTAGTTAGCATTTTGTAAAATCCTCCTCTGGCAGGAATTAATCTGACTAGACACCTCCTGTAGTGTGCTAGGAATTTCTGGCACTTTAGAGGAGAATATTATGAACATTCTTCTATGGAGAATTGCTCTAAGATCTTCAGACCCTTTGGTTTCCATTATTGTAATGCAATCTTCATTTCAAATCACAAATATTCAGTTGGATTGAGGTCTGTTGATTTAGACAGCCAATCAAGAACATTTGTTTTGTGTGCAGTTAACAATTCTTTTGTTGATTGCAATGTATGTTTAAAAATCATTGCTATGCTGAAATGTCCATTTTCAGACAAGCTTCAACTTCTTGGCAGAAGGTACCAGGCATCTGGTCATAATGTATGGGTACAGTAACATACCAATATGTATTGGAAATCTTCATATTTCAAATTTCTCCATTGTCAAAAAATGCCACAAACAATTAATCCAAAAGTGATTTCTGAGAAGCTCATGGTTTACCTTTTTGATAAGATGGACAATCTAATGACAAGTGTCTATCTAACAATGTTAGAGAGACAAGATGTTTAAAATCCTGTGCTGGTTAACAATACTGACAGAACAGTAACACTCTTAAATAACAGAGAAACCAGTTAGGATGATTTCTTCACAATTTTACCTCAGGAGAACATTAGGAAGGTTACAAAAAACAACATCTGAAGCCTATCATAATATGTTTTCAGTTTTACATAATTTATTACACTGGACTACCTTGATATATGATATTAAGCATCCAAACACTTTTTGCAATATGAAATTACCATAATATAGTATAGTACAGTATACCTTAGACAGCTATTGTAGCACCACAGACAACTACTACAAAAACCAGGGTAAAGCAATTGTAAATATATTAATATAATATGGTAATTGTACCAAGGTACAATAAATTTAATTAGGTTAATTTTAATGAACAGGCAATCAAGATGCTGCTCAGCCCCATATCTGAAGCAGAGTAAAAATAATCTTTGTTAGCTTTCCTAGTATACTTCCTGAAAAGTAAAATTAATGACCATTGGATTAAAATCGAATCTAATTTTTTTAAGGAAAAAAAAGAATTGTGGTAAATGGAAAAATAACAAGGATCATATTATCATACTGCTGAACTAGCTAGGGGATTTGGAGTTCACCCGCAGCAACTGGGTCAAATTCCACAAAGGTTAAATTAAACAAGTTAAGAGATATGTCTTATCTAATAGCTCTTCCAGACAGAGAAAATTAAAGACATAAATCCTTATTTTCCTTGTGGGCAAACCAGCCACTACACAGTAAAATACACAGAAGAGCTATTTCCCCACACTTTTCCTGTATGGAAACTTGGGACCACAGTGCCTGATTTTCTATTACTTTATTGTATTTGTGTATCACTTTAGTTGTGCTGAAACAACAGCAAATTGTATACACCAATTTATACTCAAACACAATGTGCATAGTTTTTAACATTTCCTTAAACGTATGACCAGTTAGTCAAGTGATCAGGTTCAGTCAGGTCTATCCATTCAAGTACAGTATATCCACTTTGCCTGCTGAAATGTGTGACATTCATGAATCCCCTTATGCATTGTTTCAACAGTGGGGAATTATGCATGAGAAACTGTATCACAGGTTGTAACTTGAAATGCCCTGTGGTCCCTAGGTGTTTCACACGGTGCTCTGTGGAAACTATTTCTGGTACTAGGTTTCTCTTCAGTCCACCCTGGGGTGATCAGGGTGAACAGGCACCATTTCCAGCCACAGAAGCATGCAAGCTCAGGGGTTTAAGTAATCTGCAAGCTCCCTACTGGATAATGTTGTAAAACAACTCTCTAAATTAATTAAAACATTGCATTTTTCACACAGTTCTTTTGTTATTAAAACCAATCCAAAACAAAGAATATAAAAAAATAAGGGTACTTTCATTTTGCAAAATATACTGTACTTGAATTGTTGGTTAACTATGGACACATCCAAGTTTATGTTATTTTGTTTTCTACATATAGTAATAAAATAGTCACTTGTGGTTATTAAACAACACTTAATAAAATGGTAATATATTTATGCTTTTCAAGTATTGTTGTCAGTTTAGATGCCACAAAAGTATCTGTCATCAGATATATTCCTCATCCATACGTGGTCTGTTGTCAAAGCCATAATGCCACATAATTGTAATGAATCAATGACATACTGTGATACTTCATCATAGAATGGCATTGAGATGTTATGTGCTTTAATATGATTAAAGTTACTTTGATGCTGTTTCACCTATTGCACTAGAATGTGTTCTAGAGTTACAACACTTACTGTAGATGTGAGTTGTTTTTCCTAACAGTTGCTTTTAATTTTAGAGTAAATTTATTTTCTATACTGTGTTCAACCTATTTATTACATATTTCACTCATAATTCATAATTTATTTATTACTGCTGCAGTGACTGAAAATGGTAAGAAATATTTTAGTTTCCCACTTAGTCTCTTGTCTTATATTTTCATGCCTGTAGATTTTCTGTTTATTCAGTTCTTATCTTATCGCAGCCTTCAGGTTTGCAAACTTTCTGACTTGGTCAATGTAAAGTATGTCTAAGGATTTTTTATCAGAACAAAAGTTTACACTGTATATTTGTTTTGCATGCAAGACCATTTATAAACGTAAAATAAACTATTCTTTATACTATAATGCATACAGAAAAATAATAACTTTGAAGTGTAATCACAAATGAAGTGAAATAGAGACAGAAGCACAGAAAAGTGACTGTGGTCTGGCTACTAACATTTTGCCAAGCATTAACAAGCAAAAAAAGTTGTACTTCTTCTGCAAAACAGCAGCATGAACTGTCCTGACTAAATGATTAATCCCTCTTGCACCTTAAAAAATAGCACAGACTGGTCAAGGTGGGAAAATTAACAAATAATGGAAACTGAAATTAATTGTTGTTTCATAAAGTGCCAATGACATTATTACATCAATCCTTCAGTAGATTATGCATGCAAATACATTTAACTGTTGAGCCACTTTTTTTCAAGCCTTTCATGTCTGGAATGGTGCCAGTATACTGAATCTCTCTCTTTCTTTCCCATATGGAAAGAATTATGTTCAGTTGACTGCAAAATGTTAGAAACAACTGCAATAAACTTGATGGTCTTCTGTGTGTTTGAATACATGTCTTGTATGATCCTTGCTCTAGTGTTTCTAATCTATAGCATGGCTAGGGAGTTAACACCACTACAGCAAGGAAGGTCAAATTCTAGCCAGGATGAGGAGATACTAATTCTTAACATATGGCTTGTACAATTATCCTGGTGTGCTTGCTAATATAGTTTTCAAAATGCTGTCACTTCAGCAGAATGGACTTTAAAAAAGTAAGTTATATTAATTTAGTTCATATATGAATTAGCATTGTTCCACATTTCTCCTATTTAACTATAATACATAAATACAGTTTATTTAAACTTCCTATCACTTTCAAAACCTACAGGATATTTGATATCTGTCAAAGCATTTTCATTGAGTAATGAGAAAGTATTACTTTTCTCTTCAGCATCAATTTTTAAAAATGATTTGATATTCAGAATGAATGACATTCAGAAGTGTTATAACTAATTACGTATAAAATTAGCAACAGGGAAAATTAGGCCCCCCGGTTACAGTCACCCACCTTGATTTACAAAATCAGGATTAATTTACATGGCATTAGATTAGTGGTAAATGAACTGTGTTGGATCACTAAATTATGTGGATGAATAGAAATGTATTATATACAGTACTGTAGATGTGCTTAACTCTGCCCTGAATCTTATTAATATAACTAAACTACCTAAACTAATTCATTTTACATTCATTTTGTCAGAACACTGCAGGAACAAGTGTTGTTAAAAAAACCTGTGATCTCCCGGTTACATTTCGTATGCTTTGTCAACACAGCTAAAAGAGTTAAGGCTCTAACAGCTCCAGAGAGAACATGGTACTAAATTTATCCAACTGGGAGCTAATAAAAAGTCTCACCGTTTAATCTGTTAGCCCATTCTCCCAAAGTAGAACTATAAATTCAAAATACCAGAACAAACAGCCTTTTGGACTGAATTCTCACCATTCTGAGCTTTCCAGACTTGTAGATGTCACACACGTTTTAGTTGTTTTTGATCATCTTTATTCTCCTATGGTGATCAACTGTTTTCCAAATTTAATGGATGATGGGAATGAGGGTAAACGACACCATGTAGTCCTGTAAATTGCACATCAAATACTACTAAAACAACATGTTTTATCTAAAACATAGAATACAAACATTTACATGCGTAAACTGTGTTTTCAATCACAACATTAAGTAGAAAATAATCATTTTTTTCCCCCGAACAGCTCCTTTGTATTTATCTCACAAAATAATGTGGAGAAAGAATCTATGAAGAGATTTAGAACGGAACTACCGGTGAAATAAGAGATCACTCAAAGCACATGTTGTTGGTTGTCTTTTGTCTTTGCTCTAAATCTGCTCCATATGTGTACCTTTTCTAAGAATGGAGGAATCATGTGAGACCTATGTTATGCAATCAAACTTAACTTAACAGGATAAGACAATTAGCACCCAGAAAAGCCCCATAATTTGGATTTCACTAATGCATTAGGATAATTAGAATTATCACGCCTTTAGAAAAGCATTTCCTGGCAATATTTTTAACACTTCAGACCACCTCTTCCTTCCACTTGTGCCTCAAGTTATTCACAGTTGTACTTGCAAAGTTGGGAATTTCACAATATTTCAATAAGACTATAAGTATTTATTTTGAATGAATCTATGGCTATAGTGCACCAGAATGCTCACCACACATCAGCTATTAGTGGGGAGGAGAGCAGAGTAATGAAGCCAATTCATAAAGGGGGATTATTAGGAGGCCATGATTGATAAGGGCAAATGGGAAATTTGGCCAGGACACCGGGGTTACACCCCTACACTTTACGAGAAACACCCTGGGATTTTTAATGACCACAGAGAGTCAGGACCTTGGTTTTACATCTCATCCGAAGGACGGCACCTGTTTACAGTATAGTGTCCCCATCACTATACTGGGGCATTAGGACCCACATGGACCACAGGGTGAGTGCCCCCTGCTGGCCTCACTAACACCTCTTCCAGCAGCATCCTTGGTTTTTTCCAGGAGGTCTCCCATCCAGGTACTGACCAGGCTCACAGCTACTGAGCTTCAGTGGGTTGCCAGTTGTGAGTTGCAGTGTGATATTGCTGCTGGCTAAAGATATCATGATGTTTCACTCCAGCAGACATAAAGTAACATGTTGCACATTCTATTATAATTTTATTAGAATTGTTTTTTAAAAATCCAAAATAGTAATTGCATGAGCACTTCCTTAATACAGCTATTAAGAAAGTATACTGTGTTAAGAGTTGTTCTATTGACATATTTAACCTCTGAAACTTAAAATCACCCTAATTACTCATACAGTATATTGTATAAGACAATTTTCTCTTCAGAACACTTCTCAGTATGGAATCAATGCTAGGATCAGTTTCTATTTCTGATGCTTTTTTAGAATTATTTAATACAGTGAGGCTGCTTCATACTGTCAGTCTTCATACTTTTGCCAGCAACTGTATAGTAATTTGTGACCCTTTACCTTCATAAATGTGTTTCTTACCTTCAGTCAATATACAAAGACAAACACACATTACTACTACTGTACATCATTCCTACATCAGGAGACTACAGAATAAGAATGAGTGATATGCAGTAAGATGCAAATGAGGTTACAACTGATGCCCCATAACAGAAACCTGCAGAACTAATTTTCTGGGCCTCATGTCTCATGTCAAAACAAGTCTGCTGTGCTGCAGTCAGGAAACAAGGATTCGCTGGGAAATTAATTCTGCATTCCACTGTTGTAACGATGTGCTGTGTCATCCATTTTGCTTGGATACCTTCATTTCTTAACATTCCCCTGACACATGACTAAAAGCAATAATGAGAAAGATAGGGCTTATCAAATAATTGTATTGCTCTACACACTACATAGAATGATAAAATATGTTTCATTAAGTGAAAGCAACTTTTTGCTTTAGGCAATACATATGAAAGATATATATTCAGCATGCAGAATTTAATTACTTCCCATCAACACTTATTATTAGCCATATCTTTGACTGCAGAAATGGTTTCTGGAAAAATTAAGCTACACAAACAACTATAAAATGTAATAACTAAGAAAGGGCCCAAAACACAAATGTATAAAGCCCTAATGTATGACTGAGAACAATGTGTTATTTCACATGAAAAGACTAGCTTATGTTTTAATATGTGTTTGGGCAGCAAAGTGTGTGGAAGATTTCACACTTCTAACAGCATTTCAACTGACTGTAACTGTTAAAAAAAATCTAAATACAGTACACTAGGAACTTTTTTTTACAGTTGAGGTTTATATTCATACCACAATACTTTGTAGTAATCAGTTATGTTATGTTTCAAGAACAGATAATAAGTCCATGAGCCCAGAATAAAGTCATTTATACATGTTTTTAAATGACGTTGAATAAGAATAAGAATAAGAATATATTTTTAAGACTGGGAAACCCCGTTTCAGAATTTTCAAGAAAATGACGAAATGATTTTTTTTTGCATTTTCTCCAATAGCGTCATAAAGCCATTTCAGAGATCAAAGACCGCCTGATCTTACCCAATTCCGATTGGTCGCATTCGGGACAATACGGTTTTCCTGCGCTGTGGTTGGTGAAATGCCCCGTCTGTCATTGTACATTCAGCTACTACAATGCGCGAATGAAGGTTTTGGAAATCGGTACGTGGGAACAGTTGAGGGGTGTACAGTAAGTAGGTAATGATGTTTAACCCTGAATGAGAATGTCAGCCTTCTGCATAGTTAAATTTGCTCTTTAGCAGTTTAGCCTGCTAATCCCGACAGTGTCACAATGCGAAAAAGACTAAAATCAGTGCCTTTTTAAATATTTTCTTCAGAAGGAGATTTCACGTTTCTTAGCATTAAGTGCTGGTCGCTAGAGGCCCCTTTTCTGATTTTAGATATCCTGTAGCTCGAAACCGTTTGCTTTTAGTTTTTCGACCGTTGTTTATTCCAAGATGAAGAGAGAGAACAGTTTCCAGAGGTGAGTCCAATTTAAAAAATCTTTAAAGCCTTTAACTTATAAACGTTTTCTTTGTATTAAGTTCATACGATTAAAATATACTGACTCTTCTGATATGGATCAAATGAACGGTGCTGAATAACCAAAGCCTTGCACAGTAATATTTCTCAGTAATGGATCCTGTGTATGTATCGGATTACTTAATGAAATTATTTAATAAAAAGATGTCTATGTTTATTAGTTTCGTTTTAATGATACCGGACATGAGTTTTGCTCTGCTAGGAACTGGTTGTGGATGGGTACTGCAGATTGTAATGCAATTGTAATTGTTACATTTATGC